AGTACTTGCCAACAGTGTGTAACAGAGACGTGACCGATCGCCCAAGCGGATAACGAGCCGATCAGTGGTGAAGAGGATAAAAGAAAAGTGTATCTCCTTACTACCTCGAAACTGTAGCCGCGGGCGATTTAGGCGCCAGAGCAAACAAACGGCCTTGATTCTTGGCTTGGGTATATTAAATTCACTTTATTCCTTATTTATGATTCATTCCTCCACACTTTGCCTTTGTTTACCACTTTCATAAGATTCTCGAATCATTTACACTGTCCGTGACTATTCGTCACATGTTGGTAACGATGTGTATTAAGCTCACACAGAGGTACATAAGATATTTTCCTTGGAGTATAGCTTATGGGTCAACCCCAATACTTCACATATGCCTCGTAAATTTATCCTTTTTCCGTATCATTGTTCTCCCATATTTTCATCTAACACCTGAGGTAGCTCTTTTTACTAATTGTACACAGACAAATACCCAAACCTTGAGACACGGTCATACTTATTCACAATAGTACACTAGTCCGTACCATTTGGGCCTTACCACTCATCATATAGGTACACTCGGAAACCATATTCTCTAGCCCACCTGGGTCAGTGCTGGAGGTTAGTACAGTGGCCTTTCTGGACGGCAGCCCACTCTAACTATCACGAGGCAACACACGCACGAACACACACAGTCATAGTACGGCTGTATAGATGATATTGTGTATAAATATTGTATATGGCATTTTATACTCTGCATTATCTAAATAAATAAATAAATAAATATATATATATATATATATATATATATATATATATATATATATATATATATATATATATATATATATATATATATATATATATACTTTCCCTCACCCTAGCAAACTAGTTAGCAGAGCATAACCAAACAGCCTTGCAAGGACCAATAGGTCTGGATATAGTGTGTGTGTGCATGCGCTAAAATGACCTAGTATATTTTACTAATGTCTCATTGTCCATGGGTTTTCTTACAGCTTGGCTGTGAGTTTTCTATTTTGTCTACCTGCCAGTTCGACAGGACTGCTAACCATCCTCCCAGCAACTCATATGCCATCCCAGACCCACAGCCTATATGTATGGTGCAAGACCGCAGTCCAATACATACAAGTCAGGCAGTCAAGCGTTGGTTTGAGGCGCACCCACATATTATTGTATTGGACTGGCCCCCTAAAGGAGCCGATTGTAATCCAATAGAAAATCTATGGGTGCATATGGTTGTTGAATGGGATGTTGAGGAGAAAACGAGTGAGGCAGTGAGGAGACACGCACATAATGTGTGGGAGGGAATAAGGAGGAGACCGAACATCTGCAGCAATCTGGTAGATTCCATTCCCACCAGATTGCGTGAAGTTAAAGCAGCAGATGGAGGTTGGATACGGTATTAACCTGTGGTCAAGAATTAAATCTCCGACCACGACGGTGCCTTGTAGGGGGTGGCAGGGGAGTTAGCTCTCTGGTGTAACCTCGTTGGGGCCACATAGACTTCGTTTCCTAACTCTCGGGAATTTGTCCAGGTATTTCACTATGTGGTTTTACGTCACTTCGCATAAATATGCTTACAAAATCTATGCATTAATATGCATACCTCTTGGGAATCTGTCCAGACATTAAATATATGTTATATACTACAATAATCACACAGATATATTAACAATGTTTATGCATAATAAATGCGAAAAATATTTTTGGGGTTTCAATCAACCAATAGTCATGCCTACAAAACAATCTTGCTGCTCTAAGTGCATGTATGTGTTAAATAACGAGTAACTGATCCACATTATTTTGGTAAATAAAGAAATGAAAAGCAAGCACTTAGCCATATGGATATAATTACACGGAAGAAGGGAAATAAGGATGAACCATGGTTTTGATGGAAACAATGTGTTCTGGGACGATGCTCACAATGACGAATGAGAGAAACCTCTTTATGAAACATCTTACCTACTAAGGATGAAGCTTAATGTTACAGAACACACACACACACACACACACACACACACACACACACACACACACACACACACACACACACACAGTGTAACTTTGTGTGACGCGTTGTCTGACTTGGGGTGGCTTTGAGCGAACCATACACTTGATATTACAATTTATGTATCCTTCCTGTTCATGATTTACAACAATAACTGTAGGGTAAAAGTTACAATATTATACTAATAACACTCATGTATTGATACTATGACTCGTTACCAAGATACAGAGCACGATGAACATAACATGATAATGATAGTGAAGCCTGGAAGGGTTCATATCATAACTTGTGAGATCGTGCGTACGTTGCCCCGTGAGAGTTACCGTGGGCCTCCATGTGCCCAGGTGGGATGGTCAAAGTATTACACTATAAGTGTGTAAAATGAGGAGTGACTGATCCACATGTAATTTAAGGTTTTTGAACTATGTAGTTAAATTAAACACGATTTTTCATGTAGTTATGCGAATGATGGGAAGCATCGTGGTCTGGCGCACACACACACAAGTGCTGTATACGTTGTGAGGAATCTCTGAGTGGTTTGGAAGTGTTTATTTCCATTCATACTTTCGTAACTACAACCTATGGTATTTTTTCTTCGTGTTCATATATAATGAAGATAATGCAGAGTATAAAATGCCATATACAATATTTATACATAATGTCATCTATACAGCCATACTATGACTGTGAGTGTTCGTGCTTGTGTTGCCTCGTGATAGTTCGAGTTGGCCCCCGTCCAGAAAAGACACTGTTCTAACCTTCAGTATTCCACCCAGGTGGGCTAGAGATTTGGTTCCGAGTGTACCTTGAGCTCTCCATTAATACTATCTGTATACATACTTAAGATTATATGTACGGACACTGGTATAATTTGCATAAAACAACATACAGCATATAAATTACCCCTTCCAAATGCTTACCGTTTTCTGTGACATGTCCCCACTAGAAAAACGTAGATATTCCCTTAGCGCGATGAGTTTGATTGTTATGCAGCTGTAATATGAATGAAAAGAGATTATAGAGACATGTACTAATGTACGCAGTACACGAGGAAGACAAGAACCAGCAAACCACTAGATGTTCTAGTAATTCCTATCAACAAAAATACTTTATTAATTCTTCTTCTCAAGACTTGAAAGTCATCATGACATAACTCATTCCAAGAACCCCTCATGGTCCACTTGATCTTCAATCTCTACCATCGTCCATCTATAAGCTAAAGAATAGATATATTTGTTATATCTTAGAGTTTTAGAGCTGTATTTAGGCTGTCTAAGCATGGCCGTGTTGTCACTGGTGCTATTATGCAAGTGCAATTCAGTTGGGACAAGGTTTTGGCCAAAACATCTCACTATAGTGTAAGTTGTCTCAGGTTATAAATATGTAGTGAGGCGTCTTATGACAACATCAGTCGCTATTAACGGTTAGTAACGCGGTCTCAATTTCACAATCCCTTTGTGATACACTTATACCAGGATGTGCACAGCTTACTCTTATTATTTTAACTAAACAGCAATCATATATCGTTTCTTCAGAATTTTGATAGTGTAGCTGTGTTTTTTTATTAGCTGCGATGGGGTAAGGTCTCATATTTTTACTTTTACGTATTACCACAAGATATGCAGTGCTGCCACCAATGTATACGAGTAAATCATTATTCCAAGATTCCTGACACCTGCTCTGTTATGCAAACAGTGGATAAGACATTGGTACAGTATAGGTATACTCAGCACTACGCTATATGTGTTTCTCTGCAACTATAATTATAATTTTTTTTATTACTAGAACGTTAGACACCCCAGCTTATTTTATCTGATGATTATAACCATCTTAACACTAAATTGAGTTTTCTAAGCTTAATTTAACTTACTTTAACGTAACGTAACCTAAGGTAGCCTAACGTAACCTAACCTAACACGTTCTTGTGATGATAATAATAATAGTTATAAAATCTAATAAAAAAATATATGTAAATTTCAGCTAGGAAGACAAAAGGGAGTCAAGAACGAGACCCAAGCCAATGGTGGTATGTTAGGTACCAAGAGAAGAGACGCAGAGGAGGGAGTAGCGAGAAAGACGAGGCTTAAAAGAAACCGAAACACGAACAAAATAAAGAAAAGGAAGGAAAGAAAATTGAAAGAAGAAACAAGGTTGAACAAGAAGACGACGAGAAGCAGTGTCAAAGTAAAGGGCGATGATGCAAAGGTAGAAGCAATGTTAATAACATAGAAGATGAGGGGCGACGGAAAAGGAAATCCAGTGTCATCGAAAGCTATATTGAAAATACCAGTGGACAATGGAACAAAAATGCCAATGGATTATGGAACAAAAATAGGGAGAGAGAGAGAAAGCGATCCAAGAATGACATTTGAGGGAGAAAGAAAACGAACATTAAAGGGGAAACTGAAAGCAGGTGGTGAGGCAAAGATGTCACTAGAGGGTCGAGAAAGGCCTAAAGATGGTCAAGAATTGGTGAGAGAAAAACAAAATGTAAGGACAGATACACCAAAATTACCAGAGGAGAAAGGAGAAAAACTGGAGGAGAAAGGAGAAATACCGGAGGATAAAGGAGAAATGCCGGAGGATAAAGGAGAAATACCGGAGGATGAAGGAGAAATACCAGAGGAGAAAGGAGAAATACCGGAGGAGAAAGGAGAAATACCGGAGGATAAAGGAGAAATACCGGAGGATGAAGGAGAAATACTGAAGGATGAAGGAGTTTGTAGGGTTTCGTGATATAATGTTGTCTAGCACTCAGGATGGATGGAAACTCTAAGGTGGTTTTCTTGTATAATATAAGTTATGTGATAGACAGTCTGGTGCTGGAGGTGCCGTGTGGTGAGGAGCTGCTCAGTAGGCACATTCGGTGAGTAGCGTGTTGAAGGAGGTGGAGGTGCAGGAGCTTCGTTAGAGAAGATGTTGCCTGTTGCTGGCCTCCAGGTTGAATGAGAACGGGACAGCGAGGAGCTTGCTTGGAGGAGGTGTTGCGTGTTCAGGAACCGAGAGCAGAATGAATCTCAATGGAGAGACAGAGCTTATATACACAGCAGCCGTGAGTCATCTGTGAGTCATGGTAGGAAAACCCGGGAAGTAGCCGGTCTTTTGGCTCTGTTGCTAGGATACTGTGGCATCTGGTGACGCCCCCCCCCCTTGGGCCGCTAGTTTGGTTGCTAGGGAAGACGTAGCAGGTGGGATGCAGCTACGCAGTTGTAGGGGAGACGTCCACTACAAGTTCGTCGAAATATTTCACAAGTGAGACTTTGTTTGAGAAAAAAAAGATTCCTTGTCTTCCTGAGGTGGTGCATAATATTAATGTTCCTGTTGTCTATATAAAATATAGCTGTTCAGACTCTGCAGACAATGGCCCTTTTGCATTTTATTTTGGGCTTTCATAAATACTGGATAATTATGTACTGTAATTTCTTTTGTTAAATGGTCTTCTCATCACCTATTGGGCAATTACAGTCGCTCTCACCCTCTCAGGTTAAATTCGTAAACGTTGGATTGAATTTGTAGTAAGGTTCTTATGTTTATTGGTCGAATCGCCTATTAACTAAACACAATAGGTCTTGCCCATACAGGTAAACGACATTAAACTCTCCCACACGATCGATCAGTCTGAGGCGTTACTGAGTGAAGAGGAAGTAAACAATGTGAAGCAGAAGGTAAAACAAGCGAACGACGATCAGCTGATCCTGAACCAAGAAACATTTGGTCCAATTCTTCCTAACACCACTGTTCTTGTGGTGCAGGTAGAGTACGCCCATGTTGATACGTATTCTTTGTGTCTTTCTTTGGAAGAAGGGAAAGAAAATTGATTTCTTGAACAACCTGGAAATAGTTAGTGAGGCCGCCTCTCCCTTTAACAACTAAAATATATAATGAGATGGAAAAAAAAAGGAATTCTTATCGAGTATTGGGGGGGTAAGATAAAGTATTTAACTCCTAATAATTAACTTTATCTTAAAAAAATCATCCTCGCAAGTGACAAATAAATCAACTACGGGTTCTCAGTGAGGGACAGAATGTAGTGCACAGCTTTAATAAACAATAATTATAATAGTTTATTGTCTGGGTTCATGGCGGACACCAAGACGCTTAGTGCAACTTGGACAAACTTCATCACAATGGCCAGACGCGCCATATACAGTACAGTATTACCAGTGTTTTTTTTACTGTCTGCCACATCCTGGTCACCCCTTTGCCTTCTCTAGGTCCACAAGCGCCTGGAGAACCTACGCTATCTGCTGGAGACGATGAAGGCAGTGACAGGCATCAACGAGACGTTAGTGATCTTTAGCCACGACCTTTGGGACCCCGCCATCAACGCTCTGGTCAGGAACATCAAGGACTTCCGCGCGATGCAGATGTTCTTTCCATTCAGCATCCAGCTTCACGCCCACACCTTTCCTGGGATCGACCCCAGAGACTGTGCTAGGAATACATCCAGGTCAGTAGGTGGATGTTGGCGATGCTATAATATATTACAGTACTTCGCTTGGGCAACTAGGGTATTTTAGGGTCACGGATACACTTGTCATCAACCATTTTAAAACTAAATTGCAGCCTGTTACAATTTCAGCTACGGCTTCAACTGCAGTTACAAATACAGGTATAAATTCATTTACAGTTACGATTTTAGCTTCAGTTCCAGTTTTAGTGACAGTTTCGGCCACAGAGTTATAGTTGGATATCTCTCACAGACAGAGTAGTGGCAAGTGTCTCGGCCACCCCGACACGTATGGGCACTACAGGGAGGCTCCTCTTACCCAGATCAAACATCACTGGTGGTGGAAGATACACAGGTGAGGGAGAGAGAGAGAGAGAGAGAGAGAGAGAGAGAGAGAGAGAGAGAGAGAGAGAGAGAGAGCTATTTTCTAATTGCTTCTCTTTTCCTGTCAGGGATTTTACCATCTACTTGTTCTCTTCCGACAAACTACTAACAATATTAAACTGCAAACCAATACTAACATACTACAGTCACTACTCAACAAGATGTACACAAAACAAAGTACAAGAGAGTGTCGCCTTATACCTTCACTGTCAGATACAAACTCTTGATTTCTGTTTTAATCCCTTCAGCCCATCAACTAGCAAACCTACCAATGATTTCTCCCATAAACTGTCTTATTAATAGCACCTTAACCTGACCATTTTTTAAACTCACAATAAACCACAGAACCAAATCAGTGATCAATGGTCACTAAGGCACGTGAGCCGTGTTTATCCCACTGTAGGGTGTTCGAGGAGGTGAGGGTGACCCGGGAGTCGGCAGGATGGGTGGTGTTCTTGGAGGAGGACCATTACCTTGCCCCTGACCTCCTCCATGTCCTGCACCGACTCCTTCGGGACAAGGACACCCTCTGTCGCCATTGTCAAGTGATCGCCCTGGGAAACTATAACAAACTCAATGGTTTCCTCCAAAGAAATACCGTGAGTCTTTTTCGCCTTGATACTTTCGTAATTGCTGTGTTTGTTCTGTGAATGACGCACCGCAGATTTGTTTACATTCGTTATGCGCTGCACATTACTGCCTCATGTTGCATTTTATGAACACACGATTTAATTTTCATTTAGAATCAGATTTTTAGTCCGGTTTGACGAACGGCTTTCTTGACCAATTAATTTAGTTTTACATTGCTGTATGATCTCGGTTAAATTTGTTAAACCCACATAAGGTGCACTTCTGGGAGTATATAGCTGCCTTTCCCTGGATGAGAGAGAGAGAGAGAGAGAGAGATACCTTGAATGGAATCTCCAGCCAACAGTTTCGTCACTTGTTATTCTCTCGTGTGATAAAAATGACAGTCGTCACCTTACTCTGAAAATCCTGGCCGTGTAGAGCAAGGGAGGGTTGTCATAGCAAGCACCCGCATTCTGGAAAACACATGAAACAAAGCAAAAAGGACGAAATGATAGGTAATGGAAGCTATGAAAGAGAGAACTCATTAATAGATCAATCGGGAGTTGACAAGCCATAAAGTGGTACGGCTCAAGTCGGCATTGCACTCACCGCCTTCACTTTCTCACCTATAAAGTTATTGTAGGTACCGATTTACAGCTGGGCGAACTGGGGAATGCCCGGGCGCGATCCAGTGACCCTTAGGACAAGACGTGAACGTTTTATTCGCTTTGCTGCCGCATCCTTCTGCTTCTACCATAGTGCTAACATGGAGGCTCAGGGACAACCAGTGGAATCGAAGTTTTTTTTTCAGTACAGTTTCACAAAAATATAACCCATTCATAATCCATTCAGATATCTTTTATTAAATAACGAACCATCTATATACTGTACTTTGCCGATTTATTTTCTCACGAAGTACAATACATTTCAAAATTTCCTCAACAGTTTCACTAAAATTTATTCTCCCATCACACAGGTTACGATTAGTGACTGGCTGGTGACGACACACAACTTAGGCTACTCTTTAAACAGAAATGCTTGGAATCTCATAAAAGAATGTCGTGAACTCTTCTGCACCTTCGACGACTACAACTGGGACTGGACGCTGTATAAGCTGGTCCTCTATTGTACTAGACCCAGGCTGACGATGCTGGGTGTCTCTCTGTCAAGGGTCCTCCATGTTGGTAGCTGGTAAGTGCGAGGAAAAATGATAGATTTTGTGTTTTAAGTTTGTAAATATAAGCTCGATTTACTCTCAACTTCCTAATTTAATCATACGTAATGAAGCCCAAAAACAAATTTTTAAATGAAATTACATATTATAATAAATACAGGATAATTTTGTTAATATAGAAATTACTGAACGTTACAATAACTTTGTATCTTGATTTATGTCCACAGTGGTACACACACAAAAAGAAATGCATGTGATACTAAGTCAGAAGTCCAGTCTGCAGCGAAGAGTTATCATGCAAATGCACACTGGCTGTTCCCGGCCTCCCTCCAGGTGCTGAACAAGGCGGCGATATCTGTCAAGCTCGTAAAGCCCAACGGCGGGTGGGGGGACCATCGCGACCAAGAGCTGTGTAGAGCTATCGCTAACAACACCACCGCGGAAGACTCGCTCCTCAGTTTAAAGTCCATTTATCAAGATAAAATTGCAGTTACATAATTTTTGAAAAATTGTGGAATATTTTCGGAAAATTTGATGGAAAATTTGAGAAAATTTTAGAAAGTTTTCGGAAAACTTAGAAAATTTTTGGAAAATTTGAGAAAAATTTTGGAAAATTTGAATTTTTTTGGTAAATTTGAGAAATTTTTTGAAAATTTTTTGGAAAAATTTTGGAAAATTTTCCGAAAATTTAAGAAATTTTTTGGAAAATTTGAGAAAAATTTTGAAATTTTTTGAAAAATCTGAGAACATTTTAGGAAAATTTGAGAAAATTTTGGAAAAATTGAAAAATATTTTGGAACATTCGAGAAAATTTTTGGAAAATTCGAGAAAATTTTTGGAAAATTCGAGAAATTTGTTGGAAAATTTGAGAAAATTTGTAAAAAAAATTTGTAATCTTTAGAAAATTTGAGAAAAATTTCGGAAAATTTGAGAACATTTTCGGAAAATTTGTGAAAAATTTCGGAAAATTTGAGAAATTTTTTGATATATTTTTGAAAAATCAGAAAATTTTCGGAAAATTTGAGAACATCTTTGGAAAACTTGAGGTAATTTTTTGAAAATTTTAGACATTCTTTGGAAAATTTGAGACAATTTTTGGAAAATTTGAGAAATTTTTGAGAAAATTTGAGAACATTTATGGAAAATCTTTTGGAAAATTATAGAAAGACATCGTGTATGAGCACATAACTAGCAGTATGGTTTTTCTCTATACCAGACAGAGCTCTTTTCGACAGAAGGGTTTGAACTGCCCCTTTACAGTCTCGTTCAAGATTCTTCGAACACTGCTGGAGACAGCTGGCATCTCGAGGACTTTTGTTTACTAAAGTACCTAGTAAAAATTATGAATGAATCTAAAAGTGATCGGTGATTGGTTACTTAGTTCCCCATTGCTTAATTGATGGTTGGGCTTTGTTGTTTCGTATTATACTACGTACTATAGTAAACAAATGGCCTCACGTTGCCAGCTGTCTCCAGCAGTGTTCGAAGAATCTTGAACGAGACTGTACCTTAGAATAGTTACAGGATATTGTTTATCTGTAACAGTGAAATAAACTTACCCAAGAAATTAAAATTTTTTAAATGGATCCACACGGGAATTCGGACTCTGGATATTGATAGTCGTTACTGGTTTATATCTAGCCGGAGAGGGGTTTTGACTTGTCCAAAATGAGGGGATTTTCGACAAAGTGAGTCCCAACATTGAGGGACACGATGACCATCTTTCTCACAATAAGAACAAGTGACTTTATTCGGTGTAGGACTAGGAAAAACCTTTAATCCAGTCTAATCACTGAGTCCCAGGGATACCAACCGATGTGTTTACATTAAGATATTTTTCTCCTGTAAGCGTGTTCAGCCGATGTACGACTGCGTACTGATTTGTCAACTGGGCTGATTTCATTAGGTCATCTAAATAAATTATGAGCTGGAATGGATTTCGCCTCTTAAACTCCCCGTCCCAGATCAAATGAGCGAGTTCGTCAAAAGTGCAGCTCTTCCACTAAGTATGCTTTGAATGATCCACACCCACTCACTTTTAGGCCAACTCAGATGCTCGCCAGTTGGCTCGAACTGGTGGAAGAAATCCTCGGGATCAGATTCCGAGAAATTTGGGGCTAATCCAATTTCCTGGGATAACTGGAAAGAGGTCCATGTTCCTAGGCAAGACTGTCTTTTTCCCAAAGAACTTTCAACTCGTGTGCACGATCTTTCTCTCGCTCCTCCTCAAGTCCTATTCTCTCTCTCTCGTTCTTTTCTCTTTCTTTCTCTTCGGCTAGTGCTATTCGTTCTCCCCCTCGTTCTTTTTTCTCGATTAATTTCTCATTGGCTAGAGCTATTTGTTCTCTTTCTCGTTCCTTTCCATTCTTTGCTTCTCTCTTTCACCACGATCTTTCGATTCTCTCCTCCAAGCTATTTTCTTCCTATCAAATTCAAGTCTCTGAAGCTTTATGCTACAGCAGTGGTCTCCAACCTTTTCTAGGCTCTGAGCCACATTTATCGTTCTAAATATAGTGGAGGGTACCAAAACTTTGAATCTGCACAAGAAAAAACCCTCGTATATATTGTACAGTTATTTGCAGTTTTACACGTCTAACTGTTATCAGTTACATATATTTTACAGTTACTCTTGGATAAGATGTGTGTATTTCCCACAGTGAGAAGGCTGGCTCTCTCTCTGGGCCCGGTTTGGGGTAAATACACAGGTCCTGTACACGACAGTTGTATAAACTTATTACATATTTTCATTATTTTCACTCTTACAAAGAATCCCAAATAATTCTCAATATTCTAATAAACCCTTGCGGGCTCCATAATATGGTTCCGCGGGCGCTCGAACTACAGGTTGGGGACCACTGTGCTAGAGGATGTTCTGTCCATTGGGGATGACGTAAAGTCACTCCCGACCCGGGATATTTCCTCTCTCTGTCCTTCGCCATGACCCAAGTGGACCTCTCCAGGTTTAATTCTGGTGTGGGAAGGAGATAACCCCCAGCTGATGAGTCCTTTAACGAAAACCTCTTTCAGCAGTCGTTTCGTCGAACTCGAAGGAGCCGAAGTTTCGTTATTGTGAGAAGTTGACGCAAATAGTTTCGTTAAATTACCTTCCCCTCGCATTACCCCCGTCTTATAGGCAGAGGTATTTATATAAATGTGGGTTATTTACATTAGGCTTGTATAACTATCATCCCCTGTAACTTTCCACTAGCTATGAGGTTCATGTTCAGAGCACGTGATAAGGTGTGCCCACGGGAAATCACGTCACTTAGTGCTGAGCTAAGGGATAAGTATCTGGTTCCCTGGCCACCTATTTCGGGCAATAATTTGATAACCCTGATGAGAGGAAGACGGTATTTAGAGCCATCGTTGAGGTGCTCCGTATTCAGAGGTGCTACTTTAACATAGCCTCCATCCTCATTTAACACTCATAGCTACTGTGATTAAGTTACGGTGATAATCCTTTTTGAAAGTGTACATAGAAACCTTTATAATAAATATACAAAAGAAAGCTATTGGATTTCGTGACTGAAGACCCAATAAACCTTGATCTATATTTTAGTACGTTTAGAATATAAGGTAATAGCTTCACAAGTGATTGTTACAAGTGGTGACAACCCAGGAAAGTTGTTACATATATGACAGCTTCACAAGTCGTTATACAACGGTAACAGTCACCCAACAGATACACAGTTAGTAAAGGTAGGGATATTATGTTCTCCCCATTAATGTGTTATACAGTTACAGTATTAAGAAGCTATTATTACACCCTAATTTGCGAACGGAAGGCCTATCGACAGAATTACGGAAATTATATGAAGCCATTTTACTTAAGTTTTTGATACCAAGATTTAATTGTAATATAAGATTGAAGTAGAGGTAGTCGTAATGATTTGAAAATTTGAAGTTACGGTAAAGTTTGGTCGCGTGAGAATATGGACAGCTCAGCGTTAGTTTACCGCAGACGTGATTTTAAGATTTGAATTCCACTTTGCTACATTGTGTGCTTCTCCAATACTTAATAGCAATAATAACATCACAAAATTTATTAAGCAGACTTAATCCCATTGATTTGTAAAAAAGAAGATATGCAGTATTTACGTTAAAGTGACCGACTGATTTTAGAAAATTCGAACAATGGGGAAATTTTTTAAAGTTTATTTGTTTACCAAAATTAAAAACAAAAGAATAACGGGAATTTAAGTTAAGTTTATTCGAGATTAAAAGGTATAATTTAAATTTAAGTAGTGGGAAGGAGTCGTAAAGTTAATAAACTCCTGGACAGACAACCCAATTTAATGTTACGTAACTGAAAACTTTCCCGAATTATGGATGTTAAACTGTTGTCGAGGGGCTTTAGTGAAGTTTCTGTGGTAGACAAATCATCTCAATCAATGCAATTAAAAGAACAAGTATTTATAACTCGTAGAATTATATTAACATAAAATCACATGGGAGAAACAAATAAAAGAAAATAAACACTGCTTTAACAAGATATAAATCCCCTCACCAAAACGTTAACAAAAGAAACACACGATGAAATGACAAGATTCTGGTGACCCAAGGAATAACCACACTTAGCAGTCAAGACGGGCTGAACCTGTGACGGAGGAGGTGTCTTTGCAAGACCAGTAGAACGACTGACAGAGCCGGTGAATTTGGGGCAAAGGTAAGCTGTAGTACATGAACCTGCCACCAGGGGTTTTCATCACCTGGGAGCAGGTTGAACTAGTTTACGTCGCTTGCTATTTAGTGTATGCGTGTGGTGGTGGTTTGTAATTGTCAATCGGTTCAAGATAACTAAGGGTGGAAATGGAATCAATTTGCACAAAATAGACGTCCTTGTGGGCTGATCTCGTCACAAAGTTAATTCTCTTCCAGATTTAGAAGAAATTTGACATTTAAATATTAATTTTTCCCTTTGGCACCACCCGACACCAGACACAAGTAAGAGAGACAGCACCACCTCTCCACTTGATACTATATCGGGGCTATAGATTCTTAAAAAACCTGTGATGTATAATAAATTAGGAGATTCTAAACATTAGCTTCATCAGGTTCACCATTCTAAATACTAACAGACACCAAAATGTTGGAAGTTGTCTTGTCTTTGTTTACTTAGGGTATTTAGCCCGACCTACCCGCTGACTTGTTGGGTTGTTTGTATGTAGCTGTAGTATTGTGATACTGTCTAGTAGTCCGAAGGCGCTCTGGTAGAAGTATAGCATTAAGTTAACTCGATTACCCAGCAGCGATCTAGTAAAAGGTTTAGGCGTGTAGCCAATGTGCTTTCCTCACCTATCCTGTCTGTTCCCTTCAGGTAGGTTTGATAGTAAACCCATTGGTTAGGAGAGACGTGTTACCGAGGTGAATAGCCGTGAAGGAATGACTCTCTATAATATGATTAGCCGTGAGGCTATGTGTTTTTGTAGATACAAAAATGTGGCGTAATGGTGACTGTGTCGTCATACAGTTAAAATGACAACAAGACCCGCCACTCGACAGACATTACGGAATGCTCAACTGGCACCAACTGTGTGTCGAGATGGCTTACAACGATCCAACTCGGTCGACATGTAAATGTTTATATGTACAAGTAATATGGATACAATAACAAGAATACAAACCATACCGATGTGCAGACCCCCCCCCCAAAAAAAAAAAATCTACTAAATCTGCAGCAACAGCAACATAGAAGCCCCCAGACCTTGCAAAGTAGCGGCCAGTCACGCCCTTCACGCCCCTAGACTCAGTTGGATCAAGATTATAATGGACGTTCACAGTCAGTCGATTATATGTTTTTACTGTCAGAGAAAGGGGGTCAAGGAAGTAGTGTGCTTTCAGAAGCAGTATGATGCCAAGCAGACAGGACAACTAAGTGATCAGTATCAGTCAAATAATATGTATTAGTCAGGTAATCAGTCAGCTAGTCAGTTAAATCATTCCCGAGCGGCCTATTAATAGCAAAAGAATGGCAGACTAATGTGTTTCTACTAAGTTATTTCCAGACCTTTCCTCTGAAACGTGTAGTGCCATTGTAAATGACTGTATACATTTACAGCAGCATGCGCTCATTATGGTTACAGTTCGTGTTGTCGGGTGCAAACGAAGATGTGGATGTTATTATTGTCTCTGAAACTTGCAGTGTGAATGGCTTCTCGTACGAGTCAGCCTTGTGTTCGGTACAACGTAACGGTATCTCATTTTCTTGTATAGTATATCCATCACCGGTAAAGGAGACACACCAGTTTTCGAAGCAGATTGTGATGTTTGCTCTGTGGCTAAACTAAATCAGATTCAAAGTGTGATCTTGAGTCATATCTTGATCAGTAGAGCATCTAAAAACATAAATTAGAACTTTTAAACTTGCTTACAAAATTTGAAGATGTACGAGAAGTTGCTACCCGAGGTGAACCGTTGGGAAAACTTGTTTGTTACACCATTCATTTAAATGTGGTTGAGGTGCTGTGTTGCCAGGTGTGGTTGAGATGATGGAGGAAGGGTTGCCAGGTGTGGTTGAGATGATGGAGGAAGGGTTGCTGCGTTGCCAGGTGTGGTTCGAATGGTGGAAGGTGTGCTGTGTTGCCAGGTGTGGTTGGAATGGTGGAAGGTGTGCTGTGTTGCCAGGTGTGGTTGGAATGGTGGAAGAAGGTGTGCTGTGTTGCTAGGTGTGGTTGAGATGATGGAGGAAGGGTTGCTGCGTTGCCAGGTGTGGTTCGAATGGTGGAAGGTGTGCTGTGTTGCCAGGTGTGGTTGGAACAGGTGTGTGGTTGAGATGATGGAGGCAGGGTTGCTGTGTTGCCAGGTGTGGTTGAGATGATGGAGGAAGGGTTGTTGCGTTGCCAGGTGTGGTTCGAATGGTGGAAGGTGTGCTGTGTTGCCAGGTGTGGTTGAGATGATGGAGGAAGGTGTGCTGTGTTGCCAGGTGTGGTTCGAATGGTGGAAGGTGTGCTGTGTTGCCAGGTGTGGTTGGAGATGATGGAGGAAGGTTTGCTGTGTTGCCAGGTGTGGCTGAGATGATGGAGGAAGGTTTGCTGTGTTGCCAGGTGTGGTCTTGGTGGAAGGTGTGTTGTGGTGTGGTTGGAATGGTGGAAGAAGGTGTGCTGTGTTGCTAGTGTGTGGTTGAGATGATGGAGGAAGGTTTGCTGTGTTGCCAGGTGTGGTTCGAATGGTGGAAGGTGTGCTGTGTTGCCAGGTGTGGTTGGAATGGTGGAAGAAGGTGTGCTGTGTTGCCAGGTGTGGTTGGAATGGTGGAAGAAGGTGTGCTGTGTTGCCAGGTGTGGTTGGGCTGGTGGAGGAAGGTGTTCTGTGCAGCCAGGTGTGGTTCGAATGGTGGAAGGTGTGCTGTGTTGCCAGGTGTGGTTGGGCTGGTGGAGGAAGGTGTGCTGTGTTGCCAGGTGTGGTTGGGCTGGTGGAGGAAGGTGTGCTATGTGCCAGGTTGAGGTGGTGGAGGCTGTGGTGTTGCCTGCATCCAGCTTCTTACATATGACATAATTTTTGTTTCGTCTTTCAACATTTGTACTTCTCAACCTTTGTAAGCAGTAACTTTAGGGATAAGTAAAACTAACAGTAACTAATAACCTCTGCATAATGTAAATTATTTACATAAGCTAGCAATATGCTAGCACATAAGGTAATATTGAAAAAAATATAATCATAGAAAAGACATAAATTACCTTGTTCAATTATCAGAGGATGTAAAATGGAAATTATTATCCATCAAACCGACAGTATTAGGCCCTCTCTTATTCCAAGATAATTTACAACAATGAAGGCAAAGTGTTTGGTTGAACAAAGATAGCTCTAGTGTTCATTTAGTTTTACAAGAGGGATTCACAAACTAAATTATTCTCTTTTTTTATTATGTACATCATTCTCGTCCGGCTCCTGATTAAAAAAAAACTCTTAATAAAGTCGGAGGAGAAATAACAGTATAAATGAGCACACTTAAGTTAAAGACAAGGCCTTCTCGTGCAACTAATTGTCCTGCTGGTGGATTATAATTTATTTAAATAATCGACATAACAGTGTTAGGCAGCAGTTGTTGGGTTTTAGATTGAGAGATTTGCTGTAATGTAATATACTTCACTTACAACTGGATTTTGTTACAGAATGAAGAAAACAACATAATGCTAAATGGTACAGAGTGTCTTGTGAAGACTTGGTTAAGTTGATCAACTTGCCCTTAACTTAGTGCTTCCCCAGAACAGATATGGTATATATATATACTGTATATATATATATACTGTATATATATATATATATATATATATATATATATATATATATATATATATATATATATATATATATATATATATATATATATATATATATATATATATATATATATTCGTGAAAAATTAAAGGAAAATCTTCTCCTGCAAATATAATATCCTATAATAATTATCTTATGCAGTTGTACATTATGCAAGTCTATTATGTTAGTAGTAAGCTTATTACTGCTTTTAGGGAGCTGAAACAATACCTGTCAAGACAGTTATATGAATATCATAAAAAAATGGAAGGACAGCTTAGCATGGCCTAAACTTTAACCAACACTTTTGTGTGAAATATCTAACATTTTAAAATAAGTATCCCTTACATGCTTATCTAACAAAGAAAAGGAGCATGTATTTAACAATTTTATGGCTTTCAATAGTTTATCATTTTCACCTAAAACAATGTGCAATATCTATTTAGGCAGAATATCCATGACAAACCAACGAATGACTGAAGACTTGTACCCGCCCTGTTTATATGTTACTTCAACCCAAGAGCATTAATAGAAAGAAGAAAATCGTGTCTCTGAGTACAAAGTTATCAAGAAAAAAGTTTCATAAACAAGATGGTTGCCATGGAAACTCTGACCTAATCTGCCAGTAGCATGACTGATGAGAGGCTGAGGAGAGGATGCTCAGTTGTTGCAGAAGATTAAACTCTACAGCATTAGTACTTGAGGCACTTTGACTACGTGAATCACTACACTGGCAAGTGAGAGGAAAACAAAAGGAAGATTTTCACATTGCTTTCTTGGTCCTACTTGTTGAATGTTTGGGTTTTTGCTGCAGACAAAAAGAGATGTTGGTGTCGCACTGGCTAGTCACTATTACATTCACTCACACATAAAACATAATTTCAATGAGTTAACCTACAAGAAGCACTTTCACAATGAGTCTATGGGGTTTTAGCACAACTTCTTGAGTGCTTGCTTGCTTGCTGTTTTCTTGGTGTGGCTGCAAGATGTGAGCTTTGGTCTAAAGCTAGAAAGCAATGTCAAAATTAGCACTACTGTCCTAGGGCCCCTAGTTGAGCTTATGGTTCTACATGTGGACATTAATTATTGCATATTTTTACTATCCTCACTGACGAGCGAAAATAAACTCTGACTTGGCATGACTATGAGATGATGGGCATGAGTCACTGAAGATGTGTCTGGTACAATGAGGGATGAGATCGCCTGCACCACTGAACAACTAGGTTGTACAACTTTACAGAAGAAGTGTTATGTTACCAATATTTTCTAACAATCCCTGATGCAAGAGTACTCTGCCATTATGTATTTATATACACAGTAGAAAATTTTTGTATGTACAATAGTCGTTAGAAATACAAAGAATAAGTGGTAGGAAAACATAAGGGATTTTGAAAATATCTCTATAACATTAAAAACTATATTTCAACTTTATTATATATTGAGGGGGTTAGGAATATTGGTAGTTTATTTTTGTTTATTCTCTCTCTCTCTGTGTGTACAGTATGAGTGTTGTACAAGTGACAAAAAGGATATCAGTGGTGTTAGCGGTAAGGTGGTGAGATGAACTGTTGCATCAATCACAGTAGGGGTGAACAAGACCCCCATGACAAGAAGCAGCTTACTCCAGCGTCCAACCGTCTACTGTTCCTGACCGCCCTAATCCTCCACATTTATCAAGGCATATACAGTATGTCCATTTGCATTAAACGCTGAGCTCTATATGGCATACAAATCCTTTATACATACAGTATACATGAGGCCTATACACCATACAAGAGCTCAGTATAGGATACATGAGCTTTATACTGTGTATGAGTGTCATACAGTATACATGAGTCTTATGCAACCTATATGAGCTCTAACGCATACAGGAGCTTTATACAGCTTACATAAGCCCTATACAGCATAATGAGCTCATTATAGGTTTATGAGCTCTGTAAAGCATAAAAGACCTCATTATTAGTTTATGAGCTCCTAACAACATGAATGAGCTCAACACAGAGCTCTATACTGCGTATAAGAGCTCCATACAGCATACATGGGCACCACACAGCTAGGCTGCTGGGACCTTATGGCTAGATTTGATAAAACACTCTTATATAAAAACTCCATTTTACAACAAATATACGCCTCGGCTATAATGCCAGAGGTAAACACGTTCCAAATTTGTTATTCATATAATGTAAAACTTTACAAAACATTAACGTAGTAATAACACATGTATCACCCCGTGTAGATATGTTGTACCCATGTCATGCCTTGACTTCACTCAACAAGAATGCGCTTTGATTATATTATTGCTTTTCTCCTTTTTTTTTAAAGATGTTTGTCAGGAACACAGACTTGACCGCCACTCAAAATTGCCAGATCTCCTTGGATTTTGGCACCTTCTCTTAATAACAGATAATCATTTGAAGCAATAACAACACAACAATAGTACCTTTTTTATTGTTAGTTCAGGTGTGGCAGAAGCTTGTCGTGGTTGTTATCAATGTGCGTCCTCGTTATGCACTGAGGGGGAATACCAACAAACTACTCATCAGCAGAGGTTCTCATTGTTTTGAGCACCTAATAAATACACTAGCAACTTCTTACCTACAATATTCACTATAATTACAGATCACAAAGATTGTTCACTGTGTCCCTGGAAGTTTGTCTTATTCACACGCTGTTGGTGCAGGTCACTCGCTCTCTCCCCGTGTTTCATGATAGTACAAAATAGATCAGCCGTGGCGCCCACTAGCATAAGTGCATGGGCGGGGGCCACATGCTATTGAAACGAAGTGTCTTTATGGAAAGTGTCGGACTTGTGAAATGAAGGGCGGTTGCGATTTAGGGGAGAGGGCGTATCTAGTGACAGAGCGAAGTTGTTCTCACTCTTCGGTCTAGGTAAATGACCTTTGGCAAGAGCTTTTCCTATGGAGCCGAGGTCAAGCAGGTTGTGATGGTGGCGACCTTTAAGGCTGGAGGCATCGTGACCCATCATTGACTCCTCTGAACTGGTGCCTCCATCACACTGCTCAGTCGACGCGACTGAGGCTAACGCGTTGACAATGGCGTTCACTGTCTTGCAGTCGTTCGTCAGGTCCTCCCGGTTGCTGACAATTGATGGATTCTTGCCTATCTTATTTAACCTGTTAAAATATGTACATTAATAATAGTACAAACATTAACGTAATTCTTAATAATATATAATTTCTTTATTTCACTAAATTTCGACAAAGAATTACCGCTGTACGGTATATATATATATATATATATATATATATATATATATATATATATATATATATATATATATATATATATATATATATATATATATATATATATATATATATATATATATATATATATATGTATATATATGTAACACACACACACACTTAGGAGACCTTCCTAAGTATACTCAAGTGTTTCAGGCCAAACTAGTGCTGGATTGAAGCTCCTCTACCCTTTCCTAATTATCCCTCAATGAACAGTACAGTCCCCTTCACCAGTGCGTTGAAAGGGGCTCGTCACATAAACATTCCACAAATCATTATCTTTCAGATATTTGTTTTAATATTGTTTTCATTTGATTCCATAGTATTTTTACTATTGCTACTTTCCTCCTGTCGAATGTAAACAAACACAGGTCTGCCACACTGCACAAAACCTGACGAGTCCTTGAAAATGCATTTGTGAATGGGACTGTACGTGTTATTATATTTACGTATATTGAACCACAGGGACTGGATTCTCAGAGGTTTGTAAGTTGAATGTTGCTTGGAAATGAAAATGTATAATTACTCCAAATTATATCCACAATTAGCATCAAACCTTCACAAACTAATTTTCTCAGAAGTTACTCTACTGCATTAAGTGTTAAGTGAAGGTATCTATTTAAAGTAGTCTCAGCGAAATTTTAATGTCAATTACTTGGATGTCATTCATGTGATTTAGCTTAAATGTACCAATTAGGTCAGTTTTGTGTACACGACTACTACAACAAATGGCTCTTCCTGTGGAGTTGTGGACCATTTTGTGCTCATTAACACGTTCAGTCTTCTTCATAATACATACCTGCATCACATGAGGCCGTCAAAACTTTGCATAAGAATCTAACAATTGTCTCTTGGGTCAACTCATAGGCCCATTCATACTACTAGTGTGTAAGTTCTCCATAAAACAAGCCTTACCCTAAAAATATTGTTTGTGAAAATCTGAATCTCACCTCTCAGCTGCCACACTTTCCATAGTCCGTCGCATGAGCGGATAGGAATCGAGGACAGTGTTGAAATGTTCCACACTGAGGCTGAAGAGGTTACAGTAAGTCTCAGCTCGCACTGATGCTGTTCGTCGTGCGTTGGTAAGTAAACAGATCTCGCCGAAATACGAGCCGTCACTGAGAGACGTTGCCACCTCCCCATTGGACATGACGATATCGACGATACCCTCTTGAATGAAGTACATCTTGTTCCCAATGGTACCTTCCTTGATGATAATGTCACCTGAACAATAGATAAGAGTATTAGCCATCATGAACTGATGAACGTGTTGACAACAAAAGCAAAAGACCTGATCTTCCCTATATAAACAGTGCATTGATCAATCTGGTCATTCTTCATGGTCATGCTAGAGGGATGCTTTAGGACTGTGGGTTGAGAACCACATGACTTTCATGTCCCCTTTGTGCATGTAGTAATAATAGGTGACAGAAAATATTGGGGATTTGAGTAAAAAATTCCATGACTGAAGTAGAAGTGAACAAAACCAAAGCTGAAGTTCATGCTTAGCTGATCTTGAGGACAGTGTCTATCTTACAATAGGTTTATGAATTGAAGATATCATTAAAAATCAGAAACTGTCATAGACTAACAAAACTTGTCTTAAAATCTGAACAGCACATCATGCAGACTCATGCTAAAGGAGATGACATTGACAAGTAGAAATTAGGGTTTATATACGAAGAATCTTAGTAGGTTGAGGAAGTGAAAGACACCAGGCAGAGGAATGACCAATGCCAATGCTAAGGTACAGACAAAAGGATCTACCACCCATATAGAGGTTGCTGTTAGATTTACCACAAGCTTAGGTCAAACCGAGTGTCTCAGTTGATCGTATCAATACTCATCATTTCTTACGTACAGATAGTCCCACTAGTATGATAAACACTAACACATGGTTGTGGTTAGTGAATCGTACCAGTTTTAAATTGACTGAATATCTTGTGAAGCTGAGACACCCGCTTAGGAAGTAATTTTGATTCTGGATGAAAGGAAACTTAATATAAACAGTATAAAGGGGATATTTTTTTTATTTTTGTTTTTATAGAAAAGTTACAATGCTATATACAAGTATTTGCTGTGGTGAGGTTGTTAGGCCAATACTATTGTGGAACAAAAATTGGGAGATGTTTTCTGCTCTATCTACACTCGCTAGGTCACCCTGTGTCCTGGGTTATACTGAGTCAGGAGCTAGCCGCTTCCACATAGTGCCACAAGGAGAGGAAATACACAGACTCAGATACAAACGAGCGGCCATCACTGCAGCTGGTCCGCTGCTGTGTGAGCCGCAGGCCTACGGAGACTGAAGCATGACCTAACATTATAGTAAAGTGACTGATCACGCTAGTGGTCTTCAACATGAGGCAACGTTACGGTCATGATCTGCAGCTGTCTGTGGCCCGCGGCTCAGTGCCATCTTTTCTACGTGATGCTACACTCGTTGCCCTCGGCGTGGCCCTTGCCACTACTCTACCTGGTTGGTACACCTCGTATCTCAGCTTGGTAACCACGTCGGTCACAAAGCGTGCATCGGCATTGGCAAAAAATGGCACGGAAGCAACTAAGGCCCTGCAGTTGAAGTTTATCACGTCCTGGGAGGTGATTGAAAACTTCAGATTAGAGTCTACATATATCATTACCTATGACTATACTAAACTAGAATGAAGGCAAGTGATGTGTCCCGACCACACGGAAGAAACTGTAGAGTATCTGTGGGACAGGTGAGGTCACCGCTGTGTACCGGGCGCCGCCTCCCTCGCCCTACCAGTCACTGACGCTCACTCTCTGCTCTCCTCCTCAATGTCCAGGGCGTTCCATAGCAGCAGGGCAGAGGGAGGGGGCGCCCACTCATCTAGCACTTGCGTGTGGCTGAGAAGCGCCGCGCTGCCCAGTCTGGCCCACTTGGGATGTGCGTGGACATTTTTACAAAGATGTTTACCACTTGTGTGGACTAGTCTCAAGATATGTAAACCCACCACCAATAGCTTTGTTGAGTGACGTGTGTGTGTGTGTGTGTGTGTGTGTGTGTTATGGTCGGAAATAACAGTAATACGTCACCTGTATATCAGTACTTATAGTTTACTGTAATTCACATTGTTTTGGGAAACTTAAGAATGTAGTGAAATTTTTGTTTTAGAGATATTGTAGATCACTTTTGTGAGACATGGATATAAATTTTCCTTAAGCGTTTCGTCTTGCTATTGCGTAATTCAGGCATCAGTTAATATTATAACCATAAAAAATATGACTACCAACATCGTAATAACATTCTTAAAACAATTCTCTTGATAGTATCGAAAAAAACTTTTCTGTCAACAATGGCAATATTGACAGAACGGAGACCTTGAGTGGTGCAAGGCTGGCAGGTGATGAGCTGGTGGCAGTAGTTACACCAACCTCTCTGTCATATTGGGTCCCACACTTACCCTTCCCCTCACACTCATCATCCCCCTATACACACACAGACACTCCACCACCACAAACACACATCCTTGAGGCTCAATAGTGAGACTTACCCCAATCGTATCCTCTAGTTTTATGTGGACAATCTATTTTTGCGTGTAAGAGTAGTTGGGCGTTCCGCCCACATTCATACAGACACAGTGGGAGGTTCAAGTAATAAAGGGAGGACTCGTTTCACGGCCTCTTTACTGTTCCCACCCGTTTACCCTTTTCCACCTAATCTAATATATACTCCCACACAAGGCTGTTCCCGCATTTCGCTCTCACACGCGATATTGTCAAAAAAGGTTGATACCGTATTTTCCGTTTTCTTTTTTTCTGTTTCCTCGCGTTCACTTACTTGTCTTACTTGATGGGGGGGTTTCCTACTCTTGTTTTAAACATGACCCTACAGCTTCTATCGTTCGTGGAGTGTGTGTGTGTGTGTGTGTGTGTGTGTGTGTGTAATTTTCCTTACAACTCCTACAGGAAAAAACGTATAGTAATTGACTGCCACACAAGCAAGAGGAACATTTTTAACAAGACTTCTTTGGAGTGCTGTAAAATTTTGCAGTGACTGTCGTCACTGCAACACCGGTCATGCTGCCTCCTTGTGTACAGTGTGCGGGGGCAGTTAAAGTATGTCTATAAGACCCACTTTCAATACATCAAAGAAAATAATTAAATTCTTTAGCTTCGAATCTTACATAGTGTATTTCTTCTTGTATCGTAGTAAATCAATAAAATAAAATTATAGGCTTGAGATTTTACACAAATTATTTCATTTTCTCGCCACTTACACAACCTCATCCTGGCTGCTGCTGTTTTGTCTCCCCTCCCCCTCCCCAATTTACTCTCACATTCTGAAGATGTTCTCAATTATTGCAGTTTGATATCTTCTACTTGTGGTAGCGTCTCTCAGATACTTAACATAAAATTATAAGCTTCGGGCGTCGTTTTTACATTTTTAGAAGTGAAATTTACTGAAAATTCTGACTGCACCAAAATTATTTAAAAACAAGAAATACAGGAATATAGTACACGGTCTATTTGACATCTCCTAACGGGTAAACAAACTACATTAGGGAATCGCACTGTCCCAGTTCTTCGTCTGCAGTACGTACTATAGTTACTGGTGTTTCATCTGGCAGTTAACATTAAGCATTTTCGCTAACAAGTTTCATATGTCTGTAAGACCTTGTATCTGTAAATACCATGGCCGAGTCTCCGTCAAAACTTTGGAAATTCTCTTGAACCTACACGTTATCATTACTCGGTCCGGTTTCTCTATTTTCAAGTTCCCAGTTTCGGGTTTCCACCGTCCTCACCGTCACATTCTCATTTGCACACTGATCTCAACATTATGCTTTTCATCTTCAAAACATAAATTCCTTCATATTTTGCTCTCGAATGGTGGACCATATTTATACATGTCCCTTGCCTGTCTGTACGTTGGTGAGATTACATGGTTTTATGTTGGTTGCTGAACCTTACATGATATCATCGTGGCTATAAACCTGCTTCAAGCATTAGTGCTTCCTTGTGTTTCAGAGAGAGTTTATTGTGTCGCCCACAGCCTCCCCAAACTATGTGTTGCCTCTTCCATTAGAAACAGACATATGTGACGCAGGTGTAGGAATGGTAATCCTCTTACCTCCTAAGGGCCTACTCACACCTCCACTACTCACATCTCCACTACTCACACCTTATCCAGGGGTACTCACACCTCCTCCAGGCCTACTCACACCTCCTCCAGGCCTACTCACAAATCCTAAAGGCCTACTCACACCTCCTCCAGGTTTACTCACACCTCCTCGAGGCCTACTCACACCTCCTCTAGGCCCACTCACACCCCTACAGGTCTACTCACACCCCCTACAGGCCTACTCACACCTCCTCCAGGCCTACTCATACCTCCCCCAGGCCTAATCACACCTCCTATAGGCCTACTCACACCGCCTCCAAGTATATTCACACCTCCTCCAAGTATACTCACACCTCATCCAAGTATACTCACACCACCTCCAAGTATACTCACACCTCCTCCAAGTATACTCACATCTCCTCCAAGTATACTCACACATCCTCCAAGTACACTCACAGCCTCCTCCAAGTATATTCACATCTCCTCCAAGTATACTCACACCTCCTCCAAGTATACTCACACCTCCTCCAAGTATACTCACACCTCGTCCAAGTATACTCACACCTCCTCCATGTATAATCACATCTCCTCGAAGTATAATCACATTTCCTCCATGTATACTCACATCTTCTCTAAGTATACTCACACCTCCATGTATACTCACACCTCCTCCATGTATAATCACACCTTCAAGTATGCTCACACTTCCTGCACGTATACTCACACCTCCTTCATGTATACTCACACCTCTTCCATGTATACTCAGACCTCCGTGAATAGTCACCTCTCTCTCACGTCACCAGTTGCATCACTAAGTCTTTTGCCAACCTTCCCTCTCTCTCTCTCCTCTTTGAGCCACTGCAACTGTTTCATGTTAGAATTACGTTAGGAAGCATGATACAGTTTGTACTTTGGATTATACTTTTATGAATACATCAATCCTCATGTATTTTAATAGAAAGGAATTCAAATTGTTCATTAGAAGGTGTAAGTTATTAATCCCTCATTCCATCCTAAATGTCTAATATTTTAAAGTCCAAGTGAGATGTTGAAGTGTGTATGAGGTGTAGGGTGTCCCCCCCCCCCCTTACTGGTGGTGTGAGGGGCGAGCCAGGCTGCGGTCACTTTGTTGACGGAGCCAGACTGTGCAGCAGCGGGAGATTGAGAAAGTGTTCGTGCTGCGGCCTAAGGGACACCAACCTGGCAAGAAGACCTCGTATTTAAGTTTTGTGACGACCTCTGAGACGAAGCCAGGGTCAGCATTGGCAAAAAAGGGTACGGACGCCACCAAAGATCGGCAGTTGAAATTGATAACGTCCTGCAAGTTGTAACAGATAAGACAAGGGGTCAGGAGCCGCTGGTGGGTGAGGGCGGCGGGAAATTTTGAATGTTAAGAATATTTCACTGGGAAACAGGGAATCAGTAATAACGTGACCTCAGTCAAGTAAAGACTTTATTTTTTAATGTGACTGAATGATACAGTATTCTCCTTATTATCACAAGACATAATAAGCTCATTCCTCTTCAAGGATTCACTTCCTTAGTATGGATTTTTTGTGACAGCAGCATTGCTAGCAGTTAGAAAAAATTGTAAACTTGAATAATTTTTAAGCATTTACACAACTGCAGGGTAGTACAAATTGTGATAGTATATGTGAAAGAAGTGAGTGTAGGAAAATAATGGCTAGTAAGCAGATAACTTTTAGCAATATCTGTAGAAAAAGGACGTCTGAAACAAGGCCAAAGCAGCTGAGGCGGACTGCCGAGTCTGAGCTCAGCTTGGTATCTCTAGGTTGTGACCGGAATGTAAGGAGCAGGTTAAGTCTAGATCATATTCATAGAGTGTACAGTAGATTGAAAAGGGAATAAAATATTATTAAAACCATAGAAATATGCACAGAATGAAAAATATAAATTAAACAGCCAATCATCCCAAAAAATCTGTAGTTTGGGATTATCTAAAATTACAATTGCAAAAGAGATGTAGAGGACTGAATAGCTTGCTAAAAATGTGAAAGGGATCGAACTTTCAAGCCCAAAACAAATATGGCCGGTGCGACTCAAGGCGGTGCAATGATATTCAAATTTTAGCCAATATGAATTATATAATTATGCAGTACATATTAGCTGCCAAGCAGTTTGCTGCACAACCACTGATTGACCTAAATTTGAGCGGCTTGATTGTACCACACTGGGGCGTGTCGGGCGACTTTGTTCTGGCTGGCGTCAAGTGTACTCAGAGGAAGACAGTAGTAACTATCATTGTAACACTGCCCATTAATACACCTGATCACTAATTTACAGTTGTTAAGTGAGTGAGTCATCATATGCTGACAAAAAAATTCCTTATTATTTGTTTTTTGGAGCAGTTAACTTAACCAGCATTAGACAATACTGTCATTTTTCATGAATCCCACTGACAGCACTAAATCCCAGTTCAAGTCTGTAGGACTGCTATTGTAAGTCTTCTCTTTAACTAACTGACTTAATTGTATTATAAAGATATTAAAAAAGGACTTTGTATACGTCAACAAGGTACATAAGAGCATAAAAAAAATATAGCAGAGCATTTATAGTTGGCTAGGCCAGTCAGACATCTGGATTATACTGATGACATCCACACCTGAGCACTCATAGACTATCATATTCCAAGTTAATGTTACAGGGAGATAGACAGACAGACGGATAAGGAGGCAGCCTGTGTCTTTTCCCTGACCTAGACTAAAGACAGTTTATGGTAGTTACGTGTGAGAGTGTGGCTTAATTATGGTTGTATGGGAACTTTGAATGGTCATGAGTTCATTACTGAATGTCATCAATTCTTACTGTGGTACCTCCTGATCAAATGCTTATAACTTTAAAGTCTGATAACACAACTTCAGATGACAGTATATGCATTCTTTTGCTCTCCAATAACTTTTTTTTTTAATAGTTAATGAATAGCAAATCTCTGCTCATTCAAAAATTCACCAGAAAAAGATAAATATATCACATTTGTATTTCTCTTTAAATAAACAACAGTTGTAATGTACACGGAGAGCCTAAAATATTAATTCCCAAACTTGACTAAAGACAACTTAAACAAATGGTAGTAATCAGATTTTTTGTGAGGTAAGACTTGGAAAACACAAGATAAGAGGAGAGGGGGCAAGGTGGTCAGGTGTGGGAGTGAGGAGGACCACATTTGGGGGAAGGAGGCCAAGAACCTGGCTGGAGTCTTTTTAAGAGTCTTACGTTGCTTGTACTCCCGTCTCTAAGAGGAGCTATGCACAACTCACAGGCTGACTTTAAATACAGCACAGAGGCTGTGGGCAAAATGGAGTCGAAATTACAATGAGACTATCTTAATTGGATACTTTCTCCCATATTTAGTTCCAGGGGAGAAAATCACACGCGAATCTTCGAAAACCCGAGGCCTAGTGACCATGCTCTCTCCACCAATACTCAGTTATCACCTCGTGTAAAGTTCTGGCTTATTGATAGTAACTTCAGACTAGACACACGTGCTTCCTTCACTAGTTGGACAACAACAACATAAACTAAACAACTAGAGTGTATAAGGTAAACCACTCTTTGAAGAACTAGAGAGATGTTTATTTCTTTGGTGTGTTCACGTAAGTCGCTTTATAATGATTATATTCTTCTCCTTGCTTGGCCCGTCAACAACGTGTTCGGAATGTTTATACCCCTGTAATGTATCATCACGCTAAGTCACAATCTTGTGTAAACAAAGTCTGGGCAGTCATGTTCTCCATGAATTTAAACACCGACATTTCACAAACCCAGATGAATGTTTGTATAATAATTTACCTGCAGATAATAATATCAATGAACAATTAAATCGATGACAAAAGTCCTCACTGTTGTAAGTATCACGCGCATCGAGTTTCATTACTTGTAACTATAACTGTAATTATGATGGTAAATTATGTAGCGGATTCGGGATTCGGAAATGACTTCAGATACAAAAAACAAAAACAAAACTGAGTTGCTAAGACAGCGTTAAAAGTTAAGAACAAAGATGATGATGAAGGTAACGCATGGACCTGATTCTTGTTGGTCCTTATACTTCCCTTGTCAGTGAGATATGAGGAAGCAGCTACACAAGTTACACCCCTTGACGCCACTTTGGTCGCTCTCTTTGTAATTCTCCTCAGTTTGGATGGAAATTTAACGTAGGAAGCTTTAAGAGCCCAGCCCTGGGGTTAAGTGCCAGGATAGAGGAAAGCAATAAAGGTGGAATTGAAATTTGCGACAAGGAAGAAATACTGAGGAAAGGAAGGGAAATTAACCGCAGGAGGTTGTAAGGATATAGGATGTAACCACAGACAGGATGTAAAGTATAAGTAAATCTTTAATATACAAGTAGATAAAAAAGTGAATATATATATAAAATGGATGAGACCAAACTGCAAGAGGATCTAAGAATGAAAGCAAACGTATTAGAAAAAAAGAAGGAAGTACAATATGAATAAAGTAGAGGAGAGAAGAGGATTAGACCGTGTTATGGACAGAGTAAGTAATGAACAATACAAACATAAGGGTTCATCACCTCACCATCCTTGGGTTAAATTTATAAAAGATATTGTATGTCAAAATTTCTCTCCTAACTGATAAGTGAGCTTATTAATGCATTTAGTGAAGTGAAACCCATATATAACTCTGATGATATTTTAGGAATTCTTTTAAAGTTGTTGCTCAAGTCTGACAGCTAAATTTGTTCTTATACTTAAAGTTACGAGAAAAATTAAGTAGGAATATTTTAGAATCCTGGTACAGCGCTGCACACCACTATACTATAGGTTCACTCCAGCCAAGAGCTGAATAACAAGAGATGCATTTCACTTTATTCTACTTGTTGGTGACTGCTGTATTTACTAATCTAGAATGCTCGCCTAAACACCCAGTTTACTGAAGCTCGTTAATTTACTTCGATTGATATAAATGCATCCTCATCTTACAAAATGATGTCACTACCCACTGTAACTATTTTAACGAACCACAATAAATCATAGAGTGAAAAAAAAAATATAAATACAATTAGATCGAAAAATGTATTATGTAACTGATAATTATTGAAATTGAAAGTGAGATTAGGTAACCTGTGGGCTCCTATAATGTGCAGCGCTGCATGGGACGGAAAGATGGAGGTACTGCACACCTGACCACGAAGAGAGTTGATAAGTGTCAGGAAAATTAACACTACTTCAAAAGGAAAAACAAATATGAGGGATAAAGTTCTTAGTACCGTAGGAGAAAGACATGATGTGGTAGTGTTGTAGACGAAAGACATGATGTGGTAGTGCAGTAGACGAGAGACATGATGTGGTAGTGTTGTAGACGAGAGACATGATGTGGTAGTGTTGTAGACGAGAGACATGATGTGGTAGTGTTGTAGACGAGAGACATGATGTGGTAGTGTTGTCGGAGAAAGACATAATGTGGTAGTGTGTAAGGAGAAGAGAGAGAGAAGAGACTTAATACAGTAATATTTGGTAAAGACAGGGGAGGTGTGTCTGTAGTAGAGGAAGCAGTGAGTGTGTCTGTAGTAGAGGAAGACAGTGAGTGTGTCTGTAGAGGAGACAGGAGGTGTGTCTGTAGAGAGGACAAGTGAGGTGTGTCTGTAGTAGAGGAAGACAGTGAGGTGTGTCTGTAGTAGAGGAAGACAGTGAGGTGTGTCTGTGTGTAGAGGAAGACAGTGAGGTGTGTCTGTAGTAGAGAAGACAGTGAAGTGGGTGTCTGTAGTAGAGAAGACAGGAGGTGTGTCTGTAGTAGAGGAAGACAGTGAGGTGTGTCTGTAGAGAGGAAGACAGTGAGGTGTGTCTGTAGTAGAGGAAGACAGGAGGTGTGTCTGTAGTAGAGGAAGACAGTGAGGTGTGTCTGTAGTAGAGGAAGACAGTGAGGTGTGTCTGTAGTAGAGGAAGACAGTGAGGCTGTGTAGAGGAAGACAGGAGGGTGTGTCTGTAGTAGAGGAAGACAGTGAGGTGTGTCTGTAGTAGAGGAAGACAGGAAGTGTGTCTGTAGTAGAGGAAGACAGTGAGGTGTGTCTGTAGTAGAGGGAAGAAGTGAGGTGGTCTGTAGTAGAGGAAGACAGTGAAGTGTGTCTGTAGTAGAGGAAGACAGTGAGGTGTGTCTAGTAGAGGAAGACAGTGAAGGTGTCTAGTAGAGGAAGACAGTGAGGTGTGTCTAGTAGAGGAAGACAGTGAGGTCCAGTAGAGAAGACAGGGGTGAAGGTGTCTGTAGTAGAGGAAGACAGTGAGGTGTGTCTGTAGTAGAGGAAGACAGTGAAGGTGTGTCTGTAGTAGAGGAAGACAGGAGTGTGTCTGTAGAGGAGACAGTGAGGTGTGTCTGTAGTAAGAGGTCTGTAGTAGAGGAAGACAGGGAGGGTGTCTGTAGTAGAGGAAGACAGTGAGGTGTGTCTGTAGAGGAAGACAGTGAGGTGTGTCTGTAGTAGAGGAAGACAGTGAGGTGTGTCTGTAGAGGAAGACAGGAGGTGTGTCTGTAGTAGAGGAAGACAGGAGGTGTGTCTGTAGGGAGAGAAGACAGTGAGGTGTGTCTGTAGTAGAGGAGGACAGTGAGGTGTGTCTGTGTAGAGGAGGACAGTGAAGTGTCTGTAGTAGAGGAAGACAGTGAGGTGTGTCTGTAGTAGAGGAAGACAGTGAGGTGTGTTCAGTAGAGGAAGACAGTGGGAGGTGTGTCTGTAGTAGAGGAAGACAGTGAGGTGTGTCTGTAGTAGAGGAAGACAGTGAGGTGTGTGTAGAGAGGAAGACAGTGAGGTGTGTCTGTAGTAGAGGAAGACAGTGAGGTGTGTCTGTAGTAGAGGAAGACAGGAGGTGTGTGTCTGTAGTAGAGGAAGACAGGAGGTGTGTCTGTAGTAGAGGAAGACAGTGAGGTGTGTCTGTAGTAGAGGAAGAAGTGAGGTGTGTCTGTAGAGGAAGACAGTGAGGTGTGCTGTAGTAGAGGAGGAGGTGTGTCTGTAGAGAGGAAGACAGTGAGGTGTGTCTGTTGTAGAGGAAGACAGTGAGGTGTGTCTGTAGTAGAGGAAGACAGTGAGGTGTGTCTAGTAGAGGAAGACAGAGGTGTGTCTGTAGTAGAGAAGACAGTGAGGTGTGTCTAGTAGAGGAAGACAGGAGGTGTGTGTCTGTAGTAGAGAAGACAGGTGTGTCTGTAGTAGAGAGGAGACAGTGAGGTGTGTCTGTAGTAGAGGAAGACAGTGAGGTGTGTCTGTAGTAGAGAAGACAGTGGTAGGGTCTGTAGTAGAGGAAGACAGGAGGTGTGTCTGTAGTAGAGGAAGACAGTGAGGTGTCTGTAGTAGAGGAAGACAGTGAGGTGTGTCTGTAGAGGAAGACAGTGAGGTGTGTCTGTAGTAGAGGAAGACAGTGAGGTGTGTCTGTAGTAGAGGAAGACAGTGAGGTGTGCAGTAGAGGAAGACAGTGGAGGTGTCTGTAGTAGAGAAGACAGGAGGTGTGGCCTGTAGAGGAAGACAGTGAGGTGTGTCTGTAGAGAGGAAGACAGTGAGGTGTGTGTCTGTAGTAGAGGAAGACAGTGAGGTGTGTCTGTAGTAGAGGAAGACAGTGAGGTGTGTCTGTAGTAGAGGAAGACAGTGAGGTGTGTCTGTAGTAGAGGAAGACAGTGAGGTGTGTCTGTAGTAGAGGAAGACAGGAGGTGTGTCTAGTAGAGGAAGACAGGAGGTGTGTCTGTAGTAGAGAAGACAGTGAGGTGTGTCTGTAGTAGGAGGAAGACAGGAGGTGTGTCTGTAGTAGAGGAAGACAGTGAGGTGTGTCTGTAGTAGAGAAGACAGTGAGGTGTGTCTGTAGAGGAAGACAGTGAGGTGTGTCTGTAGTAGAGGAGGACAGTGAGGTGTGTCTGTAGTAGAGGAAGAGGAAGAGTGTGTCTGTAGTAGAGGAAGACAGTGAGGTGTGTCTGTAGTAGAGAAGACAGTGAGGTGTGTGTCTGTAGTAGAGGAAGACAGGAGGTGTGTCTGTAGTAGAGGAAGACAGTGAGGGGCTGTAGTAGAGGAAGACAGTGAGGTGTGTCTGTAGTAGAGGAGGACAGTGAGGTGTGTCTAGTAGAGGAAGACAGTGAGGTGTGTCTGTAGAGGAAGACAGTGAGGTGTGTCTGTAGTAGAGGAAGACAGTGAGGTGTGTTGTAGTAGAGGAAGACAGTGAGGTGTGTCTGTAGTAGAGGAAGACAGTGAGGTGTGTCTGTAGTAGAGGAAGACAGTGAGGTGTGTCTGTCGTAGAGGAAGACAGGAGGTGTGTGTCTGTAGTAGAGGAAGACAGTGAGGTGTGTCTGTAGTAGAGGAAGAGTGAGGTGTGTCGTAGTAGAGGAAGACAGTGAGGTGTGTCTGTAGTAGAGGAAGACAGTGAGGTGTGTGTGTTGTAGAGGAAGACAGTGAGGTGTGTCTGTAGTAGAGGAAGACAGTGAGGTGTCTCAGTAGAGGAAGACAGTGAGGTGTGTCTGTAGAGAGGAAGACAGTGAGGTGTGTCTCAGAGAGGAAGACAGGAGGTGTGTCTGTAGTAGAGAGGAGACGTGAGGTGTGTTTGTAGAGGAAGACAGTGAGGTGTGTCTGTAGTAGAGGAAGACAGTGAGGTGGGGTCTGTAGTAGAGGCAGCAGGGAGGTGGTTCAGTAGAGGAAGACAGGAAGTGTGTCTGTAGAGGAAGACAGTGAGGTGTGTCTGTAGAGGAAGACAGTGAGGTGTGCTGTAGAGGGACAGGAGGCTGTAGAGAGGAAGACAGGAGGTGTGTTTCTAGTAGAGGAAGACAGCGAGGTGGTCAGGTAGAGGAAGACAGTGAGGCTGGTTGTAGTAGAGGAACAGTGAGGTGTCTAGTAGAGGAAGACAGTGTAGAGGAAGACAGCGAGGTGTGTCTGCAGTAGAGGAAGACAGTGAAGTGTGTCTGTAGAGGAAGACAGCGAGGTGTCTGGGGCACAGCTGACAAACAACCGTGAGTTTATGTGTGGTCAGGATGGAGGATGGCCAAAGCGGCCATGTCTCCTCTATGACTCAATAATGAGCATGGCTGGAGGGAAGAGAACCTACCTCGCGGAGTTTTTCCGAGAGTTCTCCCAGGATCATCTCTTCGTCGAAGAACTTGCCCTGGTAGCGGTGCTCGAAGTACTCGGTGATTCTCGTCCGGAGCTCCCGCGGCAGCTTCCGGTATGCCATGTACTCCTCCACCTGCTTCAACTGTAACCCAAACGCACACCCTCATGTACCCTGTCTTCAGCAGATGAGGACGGAGTGGGGGAGGGGGGTACTGGTCCAGTCACTGGGTGATGGGGAAGGTACTGGTCCGGTCACTGGGTGATGGGGGAGGTACTGGTCCGGTCACTGGGTGATGGGGAAGGTACTGGTCCGGTCACTGGGTGATGGGGGAGGTACTGGTCTGGTTACTGGGTGATGGGGGAGGTACTGGTCCGGTCACTGGGTGATGGGGGAGGTACTGGTCTGGTCACTGGGTGATGGGGAGGCATTGTCCAGTCACTGGGTGATGGGGAGGACTGGCTCAGTCACTGGGTGATGGGGAGGACTGTCCGGCTCAGTGGGTGATGGGGAGGTACTGGTCTGGTCAGTGGGTGATGGGGAGGTACTGGTCTGGCTAGTGGGTGATGGGGGAGGTACTGGTCGGTCAGTGGGTGATGGGAGGCACTGGTCCGGTCAGTGGGTGATGGGGAGGTACTGGTCTGGCAGTGGGTGATGGGGAGGTACTGGTCCGGTCAGTGGGTGATGGGGGAGGCACTGGTCCGGTCAGTGGGTGAAGGGGAGGCACTGGTCCAGTCTCAAAGTGATGGGGACGTGATGGTAAGTACTAGTGATGGGGGAGGTGGCAGGAAGCGCGAGGGAGGGATAAAGGGTAGTGGGGGTGGGGGAAGGAGAGGGTAGTGGGGGGTGGGGAAGGAGAGGGTAGTGGAGGGGAATGAGAGGGTAGTGGGGAGGGGGGGAATGAGAGGGTAGTGGGATGGGGAAGGAGAGGGTGGGAGGGGGAAGAGAGGGTAGTGGGGTGGGGGAAGGAGAGGGTAGTGGGGGTGGGGGAAGGAGAGGGTAGTGGGAGGGGGGGAATGAGAGGGTAGTGGGATGGGGGAAGGAGAGGGTAGTGGAGGGGGAAGGAGGGGTAGTGGATGGGGAAGGAGAGGAAATGGGAGGGGGGAAGGAGGGTAGTGGGAGGGGAAGGAGAGGGTAGGAGGGGAAGGAGAGGGTAGTGGGATGGGAAGGGAGGGGAAAGGGGAGAAGAAAGGAGGGGAAGGAGAGGGTAGTGGGAGGGGGGAAGGAGAGGGTAGTGGGAGGGGGAAGGAGAGGGTAGTGGGAGGGGGAATGCCATCTTGTACGCAACCTGACATACTGTTCCATGGTTGAAGGTGAACTGGTGAACACATTCATTCATGCATAATTACATACGAACACCTACACATACACACACATACACACACACACACACACACACAAACAAGTTTACATGTACAAACACTAACAACTACACAAGAAGACACATTCAAACAACTGAACACACACACACACACACACACACAAACAAATTTACATGTACAAACACTAACAACTACACAAGAAGACACATTCAAACAACTGAACACACACACACACACAAACAAATTTACATGTACAAACACTAACAACTACACCAGAAGACACGTTCAAACAACTAAACAAACACACACACACGCTTCACTTCGCACTGGCATCCTGTGCAATATTCAAAATAAATAAAAGATTATAACCATATCGACTATTATTAATATCCATCAACTCTAACTTCACATTATGCTTTTTATTACTTTGTTTCCATGACAGACATTTATCTTTCCTCTATGATAAAAATAACTAACTATAAATATATATATATATATTTTTTCATATAAGAAAACTTAAAACATATTACCAAACACCAAAAGCAACACAACACATTTTATTTCTAAATAATTCTTGAAAAAATAAACAGCGAACTAACTGGGCCCGAATTTTTTGTAGTTTTAAAATTATGGTCTTAAAGCCTTAGTAAGTCTATGATAGAAAATGAAACAAATTTTTATTCTCGATGAAAAGTTTAGCGCTATCAAAGTCAACCTTTGGAGTGAAATAAAAAAAATTGGGAAGAGCAATAGTTAGGAGAGGAAAATCATAAAAATTTGGGCCTTAACTAAGCATTGAGACTATGTTAGGAAGGTGACGTCAAGAACCAGTTCCCGGCCGTATCAACCAATATAAACAACTCCTCACTGCTAGTCCTCACATAAACTAACAATATATTCAATAAACACTTGAACTAATGATTCATTTAATTTTTTTGACAAACAAGAATTCCACCTCTTGAGAGAGGGATTGGATCTTGTGTGTGCGGAGTAAGAGACTCCACTGGGACACCAGTTCCTCTTGTGGCCACAAACTTCTGCCCAGTAACCGCGCTCTCAGCGTCCGTGTTTGTTTTACACATTTATTATCACTGGGTAGACTATGAGTTGAAGCAATTACTGTCACAAGGACTCGCGGGATATACCATTAAGGGAAAATATTTTGGGTGCCTTCATATTCGTGCAGTGATCAGTAACTCGATTCTATAAGCTGTGATAAAATTATTATTTTTTGTCAAGAGAAAATGTTGCTCGACTAAGAATGGTCTACGAGAGAGAAGGCACTTGGGTTATGAGTAGAGGGAGGTGCAACTACACGTGACTAAACATGACTTGCTGGGGCAACGACCAGCCCCCCAGCAGGAGTGGTCGAGGAGCGTGCATACCGGGCACGGCTCCTGGGGGGCGGCGCCCTGGTCAGCTAGATAAGCACTAAGGGATTGCTAAGATCCTCATTGCTAACCCATTTCTACTCGACTACAGTAGATTAGTCTACCCATGATCATGCAAACCTTCATTATACGACAACAAGGAGGAAGATGACAAGCTAAAGCCAGGTTAGGGTGGCACGATGCAGGTATTGGACCCGTCTTTGACGACGCTAGTGGGCGCCACGTCCTGTGACCAGTAAACACAGACCGTCACAGTGAAATTTTTACACTGAATGGAAATAGAATTATAATTCCGATATCAGTCTTCTTGTGAACCATGGATGAAACAATCTATAACTGTGAATGTGACAAATACAGAAAATACGGAATAAATGTTGTGGAGGTTACTGGTGGTGCCCCACGCTGGCTGAACTGGGAAGATGTGGGTCTCAGCACGGCCGGTGGGCTGCTGAAAGAGAGCTAAGAGGGTGTCTAGAGAGCTCTACATAGGACAAGACTAGGAGTGGTGCAGCCGACGGGTTTCTACTCTAGCAGTACCCGAGGATAGGTTTGCTTCCCCAACCCGCAACACCGCTGAACCCCCACGTACCACGTCATCATAGTCTTCACAAAAGGTAGAGCTCATAAGACTCTTTATTTATTTACTTTTGGAGGTGGAGAAAGTTACAAGCGAGAAATAGGTGAAGGTTCGGTCTAATACCTGAGAGTCTGAACGATCTGCCTATTATGAATAAATCCAACACACAGATTTACTGCCTCACTCACAGTCCGGCTGCCACCTGACCTTCCACACGCTGGTCACCACCTCTGCAGTCTGGACTCTCCCGGACTGTCTGCCGTCGGCGTCAGAGTCTCTGCTGGGAAGCAGCACACACCAGGAAGTCCGTGAGGGTGGCACTATCAGAGAGTGTGTTAGCTAAGACAGTGGCGGCTGAAGATGGCGGAGAGCCGGGCGGTGGACAGCAACAAAACTCTCGGCGTCTTGACTGAAAAGAGTCGAGAGCTCCAAAGTGTGGCTTGGTCCTCTAAAAAAAAAATCATCCAGTCAGAGAACGGTCGCATCAGACACAACAGTTTCAGTAATTTTACGGTGAACGTCGAGATATACAGTTTAGGTGTAGGACAGTCGAGATTTCATATCTTTAGCCACTGCCGAAAATGTGCCTAAACTCTTGATAGACACAAAACTCATTTTCATCTGCAGTACCTTTTGTCTCCTTGGTAAGGAGGAACCAGAGAGGCACTGGGAAACAACAGTAGTTTGTTTATCTATCAGTTTGGAACAACTCGGCAGGGTTTACACATGGAAGAATAGTCGGAATGTGACTGAGAAAACCAAGGTAAAAGACTAGTTAAAAAAAATCTTCAGTTCTAAGGTCGGTGAAAAAATGAGATCGAAAAAAGTATGGTGGACAGGTCTCAAAATATGACTGATCTGATCATACAAAAGTAGGTGAGCAGCCGACTCTGCTACCGTATGGCCTTCCCTGGACAAACTTCCACTAAGAGACTAACACGCCCGCGTCAGTGGCAGCGTTTGACATGTTATGGGATCTGATAGGCTGTGACAAGACCCAAGCCCACGTCCCGTCTTGTGGAGGGCGGTGCATGCGTCTGTTGGTGGACATTATTTAGTGTGGTTTTAATTTATCTAAATTTCTTGTGCTTTACATAAAACAAGCTGTGACTGTGGGCAGCTTATTATGATTGTAATTACTGAGGCTATAGTTGGTGTTTATCAATATTACATTTGTATCTATGTCTTAACAAATAAAATGAATTTAGGGTTAATTACTTATAATGAGTTCATATATGGACAAGAAAGTACATCTAGAAAAAAACTATCCAACAGTTCTGGTAGCACTTCCATAAAACAGGTGGAGGAGCTGCTGTACAAGGGCTACCGCTGGCGTGAAGGCCAACGCTGAATCATGGACTTCATCACAACTGATGCTTACTGGTGCACCATGACTGTTTAACTTGGAACATTTACTTGATGTATTTGCAACTATATATGTATTATATTTAATCTAATGTGCAAGAGAAGTTTTGAACAATTGAGTCTCTCCCTTGTCTACTGCCACTGAAGTGCTGACGTGTTCGCATGCACCCCCAGAAGCCAAAATTGTAATATTTTAGTGGAAAATTCAAAGCATTCTGCTATGTCAAGCAGTTCATGTGTAAAATCAGGTAAAAGTGAAGGAAGAGTGGTACAAAATGCAGGCATATTCAGTCTTTTAAAAAGATGGCTGTGAGATGCTTTATAATAGCAATATATGATAAAATGTTCTGAATAAGAGATAGTCAGCCTCTTGTGGGGAGTGAGAGATAATCACCCCTCCTGGGAGAATGAGAGATAATCATCCCCCAGAAAGGAGTGAGAGATAATCACCCCTCATGGAAGGACTGAGAGATAATCACCCCTCCTGGAAGGTCTGAGAGATAATCACCCCTCCTGGAAGGTCTGAGAGATAATCATCCCCTAGAGAAGTCAAAGAGATGATTATCTCTCACAAAGGATTGAGAGAATCATCCTTCACAGGAGAATGACAGATGGTCATCCTTCAGAGAGGTCTGAGAGAAGATTATCCCTCATTGAGGACTGAGAGACAACCATCCCTCATGAATATGTGAGTGATGATCACCCCTTTTGGAGGCCTGAGAGTTGATTAACTCATGGAGGCCTGGTGAGACGATTACCTCTGGTGAAGGAATCAGGTCTACTTCTTTCATAAAGGAACCGGAAGTCATGGTACGAATATGAAGGTGCAAATAATTTTGTTCCTTAAAACATGTGCTTGAAGATATAAGGTAATGGAGGTCTCGTCGCTGCTGCAAGCGGGCGGTCTACTCACCCTCCCTCTCGCGGTGGCCGTCACATCTGAGGCCGCTAGCCAACGCTGGGCCAGCCTCCTGTGCTCCCTGCAGCCCCGGGGGTGCTGTCGGGGCATGGGGGTGGCGGCAGGCGGGGCGGGGTGGGGCGAGGCGGGATGGGGTGGGGCAGTGCGTGGTAAGGGGATGAGGAGAGTATGGTGTGATAAGAGGGTTGTGTAGTCAGTAAGGTAGGGATGTGTCGGATGGCGGCAGCGGGGTAGGCGAGGGTCGGGGTTGTCAGCGGTGAGGGCTGCGGGTGCGGCAAACGAGCAGCCCAGCGGTCATGCACAACACATCATGCACCACACACTACACTCACACTCCGGAAGGCTCGCGGTACCCGGCACACGGGCCAAGGGAAGGACGGCCGGTAGCAGAGCCGGTACTCACCTTTTCCCGGTATTGTCTCCGCGAGCTGTCCAGAGACTGGATAAGGTTGGTTGCGTGACCCAGGAAGAGCGCGTAACACGTCGCGCCGCAGATCATTGAGAGCATTGTTAGCCACATGTCGGTCAACGACTGCGGGGGAAACCGACCATAGCCGATACACAGCATATGTGACATGGCTTTAAATAACGCCCAAGAGTATTGCTCTAACCAAAAGGACTCCTGAAAGAGAAGAGAAAGAGAAAGAGGTGAGTGGACGAAGTGCGGAGACACCTACCCGCTCACGGTACTGCCGGCGGGATGAGTCCAGCGATTGGATGAGGTTGGTGGCGTGGCCGATAAAGAGAGCATAGCATGTGGCGCCGGAAATCATGGAGATCATGGTGAGCCACAGGTCCGTTAGGTTCTGGGGAGGGAAGCGGCCGTACCCGATACACAGCATGTGTGACATGGCCTTGAAGAACGCCCACGAGTACTGCTCTAACCAATAGGAATTCTGCAATGGTAGTCAGTGGCATTAAGGTGTGTAGAAGTGGGTCATCACTCCCTCACCACCCATTGAGATTAGGGAAAGTGCCATATATATATATATATATATATATATATATATATATATATATATATATATATATATATATATATATATATATATATATATATATATATATATATATATAAAGCAAGGAAATAAATTGTCGAAAGGATAATAAACAGTGATCCACAATATATTATCACCTTTTCCTCTTCAGTGGTTTGTAAAATGGATATAATCATATATGCTAACCCAAGGCAATTTTTTTTTTATCTTAAATATACGTACCTGTTTGACACCTTTTGTTGTGGTACAGGACTAGGAACTCTTAGTATTAATGGGTCACATTAGGGGTACAACGATGGCAATTACTGTTTTTGAATCCGTGTATGTTTGTAGGTAAAGAAACGTTTAATGTGTCAGTGGACCTAGAATTAGAGCCATACCGACACCTGAAATTAAACATATGCAATATTTATTGTGTGCTTGGATATACTTATCTCCCGCCAACTTGGAACATTCGATATGCAAGTTTAATACAAATGGCACCTGAAGACATACTGGAATTCAGACACACATTCACTGGTTCAACCTCTCAACTCATAGCTGTAATCTCAAGGTACTTAATTATGTTTGCCAAATACAGAATCCGTTGTATTATAATAAAAACATGATTCTTGATAACATTAGCAAATTTATTAATACAAAATTCACAAAAAAACAGCAAACACATTTAAAATACATCTTGTGTACCATCGTGCTGGTGAGGGGAGACCAACTTACTCTGAGTAGTTCCTTGTCACAAGTTAAGATTACATAAACCTCCTGCTAGCAGTAAAGAGTAATGCAAATTATATGTGTCATGTGTCAGGGATATTCAGTGTTGTGTCATGCGTCAGTGGTATACAGTGCCCATCCGGGCACAGGTCATCGACCCACAACGGGGCCTAGGGGGCGAAAAAATAAGAATAGAAAGAAATTAAGAACAGAAAAGGAAAAGGTTATATCAAACTACACCACGAAGATGCTGGAAAACCAGCTTTTTAAAGTGAGACATTGTATGAGTATGGAAACACTGAAGAAAGCAGATCATTCCACAGTTTGGCTGTGTGAGGAATGAAGGAAGTACTATAACGGGTTATTCTACAGTAGTGTGACCAACATTCACAGAGAAACGGTGGGCACCGCAGGCAAGACGTGTGTTACGAGCCCACGGCCTTGTCGGCGGTACACAGGATGCCAAATCTACCGAACATTGCCCGTTAAAGTACCTGTAAAAGAGAAAGAGCGAAGCAACATTGCGACGAATAAAAAGGGAAGAGAGATTGTCAACTAAAGGAGGAGAGTTAATAAGACGAAATGCCTTTGATTTCACCCTATCTAACAGTTGGGCAGAAGAAGAAGAGCCACCCCAGACATGAGAGCAGTACTCTAAGTTAGGACGAATGAATCCCTTATATACATGAAGCAACTGCTCAGGAGTGAAGTAGCTACGGCATCTGTACAGCATTCCCAGCTTTCAGGAGGCAGCTTTAGCAATGTTGAGGATGTGTGGCTTCCATGACATATTAGAGGAAATGGTGAGGCCTAGAATATATATTTTAGAATTTGGCAGAATGATAGCGACCTGAAATGTGATTGGTGGGAGATGATCTAATTTGGAAAGTGTAATTGGTAAATGCTGAGTTTTATTACGCTTGAATTTAACCAAGTTTCTACCGCCCCATTCGGAGATGCTGCACAGATCTGCATTGATAGATGAAATGATATCAGCTCTAGAAACAGATCTAGTTTGAGAATTAGGGGGAAGGGAAAATGTGAAGAAGAGTGAAGAGTAGAATCATCAGCGTAAGAATGGACAGAATTAGTTGTAGTGTGAAGTAAATCATTGATAAAAAGAAGGAAGAGAGTAGGTGAAAGAACAGAACAGAGGTATACAGTGCTGTGTGTCACGTGTCAGAGGTATACAGTGCTGTGTATCATGTGTCAGAGGTATACAGTGCTGTGTGTCATGTGTCAGAGGTATACAGTGCTGTGTGTCATGTGTCAGAGGTATACAGCGCTGTGTGTCATGTGTCAGAGGTATACAGTGCTGTGTCTCATGTGTCAGAGGTATACAGTGCTGTGTCTCATGTGTCAGAGGTATACAGTGCTGTGTGTCATGTGTCAGAGGTATACAGTACTGTGTGTCATGTGGCAGAGGTATACAGTGCTGTGTGTCATGTGTCAGAGGTATACAGTGCTGTGTGTCATGTGTCAGAGGTATACAGGTATGTGTCACAGTACTGTGTGCCTATAAAAATAGAGGTATACAGTATGGCAGAGGTATACAGTGCTGTGTGTCATGTGTCAGAGGTATACAGTGCTGTGTGTCAAAAGGTGTGTCAGAGGTATACAGTGCTGTGTATCATGTGTGTGTTGGTGTGGGTCAGAGGTATACAGGTATACAGTGCTGTGTGTCAGAGGTAGTGTCTGTAGAGGTATACAGTTCCCAAAAGTGCTGTGTGCCAGAGGTATACATGTGTGTCAGTGTCAGGTATACAGTTCTGTGTCATGTGTCATGTGTTAGAGGTATACAGTTCTATGTGTCATGTGTCAGAGGTATACAGTGCTGTGTGTCATGTGTCAGAGGTATACAGTTCTGTGTGTCATGTGTCAGAGGTATACATTACTGTGTGTCATGTGTCTGTGTGTCATGTGTCAGAGGTATACATTACTGTGTGTCAGAGGCATACAGTGTTGTGTGTCATGTGTCATAGGTATACAGTGTTGTGTGTGTTAGAGGTATACGTGCCAGAGTGTATACATTAATGTGTGTCTGTGTGTCATGTGTCAGAGGTATACAGTGCTGTGTGTCATGTATACAGTGCTGTGTGTATACAGTACTGTGTGTCATGTGTCAGAGGTATACAGTACTGTGTGTCATGTGTCAGAGGTATACAGTGCTGTGTGTCATGTGTCAGAGGTATATACAGTGCTGTGTGTCATCAGAGAGGTATAGTGCTATGTGTCATGTGTCATATACAGTGCTGTGTGTCATGTGTGTCAGAGTATACAGTGCTGTGTGTCATGTCCAGGGTATACAGTATGTGTCAGAGGTATACAGTACTGTGTCATGTGTCAGATACAATGCTTTGTGTGTCATGTGTCAGAGGTATACAGTACTGTGTGTCATGTCAGAGGTATACAGTACTGTGTCATGTGTCAGGGTATACACTGTGTCCATGTGTTAGAGGTATACAGTGCTATGTGTCATGTGTCAGAGGTATACAGTGTGTCTGTGTCAGTGCTGTGTGTCATGTGTCAGAGGTATACAGTGCTGTGTGTCATGTGTCAGAGGTATACATTACTGTGTGTCATGTGTCAGAGGTATACAGTGCTGTGTGTCATGTGTCAGAGGTATACAGTGCTGTGTGTCATGTGTCAGAGGTATACATTACTGTGTGTCATGTGTCAGAGGTATACAGTGCTGTGTGTCATGTGTCAGAGGTATACATTACTGTGTGTCATGTGTCAGAGGTATACAGTGCTGTGTGTCATGTGTCAGAGGTATACATTACTGTGTGTCATGTGTCAGGTGTTGTGTCACAACATCGTACAACACACCATATACATTAGCATTTTACAGTGGGTCATCACTTTACAAGTATTTCGTGTACATACTTATTATATGATTCAGGGACCAAGTATGTTCACACACCTACCAAAAGCTGGTGTTAATTGTAGCGCTGAATTATTACTGGTGGTGGTGGTGTTGGTGGCAGTGGTGGTGGTGGTGTTGGTGGCAGTGGTGGTGGTGGTGGTGTTGTTGGTGTTGGTGGTAGTGGTTGTGGTGTTATTGGTGGTGGTGGTAGTTATGGATTGTGTCTCACGTAGTTTCAAGTTAATGTCGGTAAAGGTAGTGGCTTGTTCTACTTCCTGCTGGTTGTAGTGGTGGTGGTTCGTGTTACTTGTGATACCAACTTACTACTCCGGATGCTGGCTTGGCCTGGTTACTTGTACTACCAAGTTACTGCTCCGGATGCTGAATTGGCCGTGTTACTTGTACTACCAATTTACTGCTGCAGGCGCTGGCTTGGCCGGGTTATACATTTGTCTCAACTATTTTTATCAAGGACACGAGCCTCCAGAGGTACTTGACGTGCATGCTGTGAAACAATTTTTTTTTGTGTGTTTTCAGGCTAAATGAAGAAATTTTGTGAAGTATGACCGAAAAATACAATTTTTTTCGAAACGAGCAAAATGTATGTACAGTAGGTACATTGTAAACACGTCTCCTTCAATATGTAATGTTTTTGATGCTCAAGTGTACCAAGTCTTAACTGGATGGTTTGAAGTGGATACAACACTTATCTAGCGTTTATACCGGATAACTTTTCGTCATCTTGGGTTTCTTTTACCACTTACAAGCCACGACTGTAAACTATGGCTGTTCATCAAGAGAGTGTACAGAGGTAAAACATCCTGTACCGTCTTGTGCCTGAATAATCTTGGAAACATAATAGTCATCGAGCAATTAAAGACTTGAGCTTTGGTTTCGTGATACTAATTTTAGGTCTATTGGTTAATGGCAACATACCTACGTCATTTACCAACCTTAGAGATATTGTTGATGCTCTTTTTACCTTTTTGCTTTTAATACCATCCACAACAGGCTTAATACAGGTGAGTTTTAGAATCCAAGCATACTAAAGGTGGCCTTACAGTAACTAGCATAAGCGAGAATTACAATACTTAGCAAATATGCCTTTTTTTCCCCCGATCACTTTCGACAAAAAATTGTAATTTATCATGAAGAGATCAACCCAGACTACTTGTTTACAAGATGTTTGTCTTAAAAAAAATCAAAACCAGCCAAAACCGTATTGATAGCTCTGGAAAACGTGTTACTACTAATGGGCAGTGATCAGTGTTATTATTATTATTATTATTATTATTATTATTATTATTATTATTATTATTAT